TCATGCTATAGCAGGACAAGGGAAGTCGAGGGTTCATGGGACCATGTAGGAATGTCACCCAACCCAGGGTTTAGGGAGCAGGGAAACTTTCCGAGAAGTGATAGCCGAACATGTTCCAAGAGTGCTCAATGCAGAAAAAGTAGCATATGCAGAGACATGAAATTGACAGAGAACAAGGAATTTCTGAAGAAGTAAAACATTCTATTTGCTTGAAGTGTCAGATACAAGGAGACAAATGGCAAGAGATGAGCCCTGAAAGGTAAGCAGAGAGAGATCATGAAGTCATTGGCACATTTGGATTTGGTCCCAACAAGACTTGGATGATGTAGAAGGAAATGATGATGATGGTGATGATGATGATGATGATGATGATGATGATGATGATGGAAAAAATAATAGGCTGTAGGGTGGCCATTTGTCATTCTGGGAAAAAGAGATGGTGGTAGAGGAGGCTGGAGCAAAAGTGAGCATTTACTATTGAGCATCTATAATAAGCCAGACTCTCTGATAACCAATTTCTTACTTAACATTCACAAGCTAACATGAATAAGTGTATAAACACTCTGCCGTCATGCCAAGAATGGTTTAGAGGAAGACAAAATTAGAAGGAAAACTAATTAGGAGGCTACCCTAGAATCCAAGTGCAACATCATGGTGGTTTAGACTACACTAGAGTAATACTAGTGGAGATGAAAGGTGTTTAAAAATATTCATGTCCAAGAATCAGGATACTGTGTACCCTATGGATATTATTGTAAATATCAATTCCCACTGTTTTTAATGCAATCTAGAAATTTTGAGTTATTGGATTGTATCTGTATTAAACCCAGATCACACTCTTTATATGTCCTGCTTAATCAAAACTTCATAAGGAATATCATAAATTGTTGGGGGTTTTTTACAACAGTCAAGTTGAGAAGCAGAAAGCATTCTCTCTTTTCAGAGCTCTAGTTTTTATGGTTATAAAGATTGCCCATTTTGTCATTAATACAGAGGGAATAGGAAAAATTACAAGGTCCCATAGAGCCCCACACACTGGGATGAGATTGACCTAAATCCTTTCTTAAGAATTCCAGAGAATGTGTAGCCCCCAGAGCATAGCTATAAAGAGGGACATTCAGCCGGGCGTGGTGGCTCAAGCCTGTAATCCCAGCACTTTGGGAGGCCAGGCAGGTGGATCATGAGGTCAAGAGATCAAGACCATACCTGTCAACATGGTGAAACCCCGTCTCTACTAAAAATACAAAAAATTAGCTGGGCATGGTGGCACGTGCCTGTAATCCCAGCTACTCAGGAGGCTGAGGCAGGAGAATTGCCTGAACCCAGGAGGCGGAGGTTGCGGTGAGCCGAGATCGCGCCATTGCACTCCAGCCTGGGTAACAAGAGTGAAACTCCGCCTCAAAAAAAAAAAAAAAAAGAGGGACGTTTGTTCATTTACTAATGAACTCACCATGCAGAATGGGCTATATGGGATAGGGTGCAATTATAATGCATCTTTAGTATTTCTCATATCTCCAGTTAAACTCAGTCTGAATCCCTTTATCCTCAGCCTGGATGACTGTCATGCGGGCCCACAGCTTCCTGGTCCCTTCAGGTCAAGAACAGTGTCACTTCAGTAATCAAAATATCCAGTGTAATAATCAAAACTCAAAACCTCATGCAATATAAGATTTCTCCTTTCCCTGCTCCCCAGGCCTTCCCCAGGCTTGGAGCCTTCGGTAGGGGCAGGGATGTGTCCATCAGCTGTGTCCCACACCATCTATTCCTCCCCACACAGCACGATTCTAGAAATGGCTTCAAAGCTCTTCAGCCTTGGGCTCAGAGAAATAGGAGATGAAGGGAAAAGGGCAGAGTTGGCACAGTCTCTGTGCCAGTGACCATTGTAATTTGGTGTTGGGTCCTTCAGAGCGTGGAGCTGGTTCTTTCCTTTCATGGGCAGTTTAACAGACTTTTAAAAAATCCCTTTGCTGGAAACCTCTGCACTGCTTTGAGGAGAAAGATGCCTCTTCTCTATATAGAATCCCACCAACAAGGTCTTTCTGCCTGTCCAAGGAATCCTTTAGAAAGAAAGCCTTCATTCCACACACACACACACACACACACACACAGACAACAGACAGACAGAGACGGAGAGAGAAAGGAGAGAGTTTGGATATTTGTCCCCACAAAAACCTCATGCTGAATTGTAATCATCAGTGCTGGAGGTAGGTCCTGGTGGGAGGTCTTTGGATCATTGGGGTGGATCCCTCATGGCTTGGTGCTGTCTTCATGACAGTGAGTTCTTGTGACATCTGGTGATTTAAAAGCATGTGGCACCCTCCCTCTGCTCTCTCTACTCTTGCTCCTGCTTTTGCCAGGTGACATCCCTTCTACCCCTTCACCTTCTGGTATGATTGTAAGTTTCCTGAGGCCTCCCTCTAAGCAGAGAAGATGCCAACACCATGCTTCCTATAAAGCCTGCAGAACTTTGAGTCAATTAAACCTCTTGTCTTTATAAATTGCCCAGTCTTAGGTATTTCTTTATAGCAATACAAGAATAGCCTAATACATAGAGACAGAGAGAAATCAAAAAAAGAGAGATATAGAGATACAGGCTGTCCCCCAGAAAGCAGGAACTTTTGCCCCATGCAGCTCACCCCCAATACAGCCAAGCCAGCAGCTGTAGCCAGAGAATTTTTCCTCTGATCTTCACCCAGGGGAGTATCCAACAGGAGTCTCACGTTTCCTACATTTCAGGAACCAAGTGTCAAGCTTTCTGAAGGTTCCCCTGATGCCCCTCTCCCTGGGAGTAAGGTGATAGGAAGCAACACTACTACCCTCTACAAGTGCTATGGTTTGGCTGTGTCCCCACCCAAATCTCATCTTGAATTGTATCTCCCATAATCCCCACGTGTTGTTGGAGGGACCCAGTGGGAGGTAATTGAATCATGGGGCAGCTTTTTCCCATGCTGTTCTTGTGATAATGAATAAGTCGCATGAGATCTGACGGTTTTATAAAGGGCAGTTCCCCTGCACACACTCTCTTGCCTGCCACCATGTAAGATTGCCTTTGCTCCTTCTTCAACTTCTGCCATGATGGTGAGGCCTCTCCAGCCATGTGGAACTGAGTCCGTTAAACCTCTTTTTCTTTATAAATTACCCACTCTCACATATTTCTTCATAGCAATATGAAAACAGACTAATATGCCAAGAGAGGGGAAGCAAAATGCACAGTTACTGATAATTCTCTCTCAGCCTCTCATGTGAGCTAGAGGCAGACAGCTGCAAAACCCATTCACAGTCTCACTGGCATGCCTTGCATCAAGAGCCTTACACTTCATTTAGGATGGCACTTCACTTGGAAACAAAGGGTGTTTTTCTCACCTTTTAGGGCCTCTGCCAAAACTCTGAGACAACAGGAAGAGATGCACATAAAGATCTGTTATATTAAGAAAGACGGGGGCCAAGTATTGGGAATTCTGAATATAATTCTCATCTTTCTGATACTGCCTCCTGAGTGGCAACCTGAATAATCCACATTCTATGTGAATGATCCAAACGGTAATTCAGATACCTGGATGCATGGCCAGATTTTCAGCAACAATCCAGGACCTTCCTTACTAACTCCCTAAATATTTCTGTCCAACTTTCTATGTCCTGACTCTTGATTCTGTCTCTCCTTTGCACTTGTTAACTGATCTTGAATTCCCTGAATTATCCTTTCAACATACAATAAGCAATTTAGTATAGACTCACATTTGCCTGGAAATAATATAATAATTGCCCCAAGCTCTGGGCCTACTTATGTCTTACCCAAACATACAGTAAGAGGTTTTTTATGTAGTATGATATCTGAGACCCTGTGAAAATATTTCTTTCACCCAGTGTCTAAAAGGCTTATATGAAAAAAATCGTTTTATAAATTTGTCTTAAGCATCACTCTTTTTTTGGAGATGGAGTCTCACTCTGTCACCCAGGCTGGAGTGCAGTGGTGCAATCTTGGCTCACTGCAACCTCCTCCTCCCGATTCAAATGAGTCTCCTGCCTCAGTCTCCCTAGTAGCTGAGATGACAGGCACACACCACCATGCCCAGTTAATTTTTGTATTTTTAGTAGAGACAGGATTTCACCATGTTGGTCAAACCAGTCTCAAACTCCTGACCTCAAGCATCACCTTGTTTTAAAATGAGTAACCATGTTGTGTATTTAGCAGAAATACATTCAAGTGCAAGGTCAAGAAGAACAAGTTGTACCACTTTTAATCTACAATTTTGTTTTCGCAATTGGTATATATAAATTTGAAAGTAGTTCAGTTATTGATTTAGCTGCAGAAATCTGATTTTTAGATAAACAATAAATAATTTTTAGTATAAGCATGTCTCAAATATTGTATGGGACATACTTATACATACACATATATATATAGTTAATCTAAAATTCAAATTCAGCTGGGCATTCTGTATTTTGATTAATTAATCTGGCAACTTTATTTTCTGGAGCTTCCAGCCTGACTGCCCATAAGTAGCTCTCAGATAAAATGAGCTCCTTCTAAAATGCATTACGTATTTAAATGGAAATAATAGATTTGCATAGTAATATACTGATGATTGACTGCTGCTCAATTCTGAGTTCAAATAATCAATAACACTTTCTTTCTAGTCTTTCTAACAAAGAAAAGGAAGATGGAAACCAGATTAGCAAAGATAAGAAAACAGTACGGCAATACATGGTTTTTACTGTAATTTCATCTCAAGGATTTCTAGAAAGCCTCCAAAAATATATAGGGTCGCTGAGAATAACTTTGGATGCAAGTAACAGAAAACATAGATTCAAACTGGCTTAAATAATAAGGAAATGCAGAATCACCTGTAACTGGAAGCCCAGGAACATGATCATGCCATGAGAGCCTAGGTTGTCTCTACTACTCCCTTCTGCCCTCCTCCGTGGCAGCTCCCTCTGAGAGCTGCTTCCCTTCATCGCAGCAAACATGGCTCCAAATACAACCAGAGCAGCATACTTACCTGACTACATTCAGTAACTCTCGTCATGAGAATGGCATGTGCTTATCAGTTTAGAAATCAGGGCTCCTTCTGGAGCTGGGGATGGGAAGGAAATCTAAACAAAAATGAGATTTAAAAGAAGTTAAGGAATTTTAAGCAGGCAACAGTACCTACTAAAATCTATTATTGGTTGTTTAACTTCTTATTCAAGTGAGCCATTAATTCGATGAGAAATCTGCCCTCAATATGTCTGTAAGATTGTAAAACCACTGTAGTTTGTTTGTATAACTTGATGACTTAAGTCTTCTTTGGAAACATATACCTAGATTAGAAATATAGGTAAACATTTTAATAGTTTTCTATACATGGGTTTTACTTTTTTCTGAGACTTAGAAATATTGATGTTTAAAGTCATTCCTGAATCTTTCATTTATGAAAAATAATAATGGTGATGACACATTAAATTTGAATAGAGTCTTACTTAAAACATTTTTACATTAATCTCATTTGTGTTCCACAGTAACCTAAAGACAAGGCAGGTATTACTAGGCCCATATTTCTGAGAAGGAAACTGAGATCCACCTTGATAGAGATACTTGTCCCAGATCACATTCAATTACTTTGGAAAATAGAACAAGAATCTATTTCCTTTTGTCACAGCTTCTTGCTACATGGAGTGGAAAATTTCAATGCATATTTTTCTCTAAGCGCAAGGGCCTATATGTAACGTCTGGCCTATATGTAACTTCTGGCCTCAACATGGCAATGGGTAATGGGGTTGGCTATGCTTTTAAAAAATGCACCTATTTTTGAATTAAAAATCATTGTGTTACATTTTTAACACCTTAACATCCCCAAATAATGTGGTCAAGAATTAATTTAGCTTCTTTCTCATGCAAAGGAATCCTACACAAAATTTTACACCTAAGCCCCTTTTTTCCCCTACCATTAAACAGGTTAGAATCATTTTTATTGTAATACAGACATACATACACATATATAAACAGATATACAGAGCACAAAATAAACCCTGAACTGATTTAAGCAAAAAAAAAAGAAAAAAAAAAAGGAAATGTACCTGTTCACAATGTTTAAAAGTCTAGTGGTATCTCAATTTCCGGGCTCAAAGAAGAATATCAGTTATTGTTATTGCTTTATCCCACAGTTCTGCCCTCCTACACATGAGCTTCTTTCCAAGGCTCCAATTGGTGACATAGCAGCTGCCTTTATTTCCAGAATAAAACCTCTGAGTCTTAAGTTTAACACAAAGGAGAGTGTGCTTCTCTACCAGTACTCCCATAAATGCCCGATTGTGTCCCATGGTCTCTGACAGGGCAACATGCCCAATCCTACAGTTTGAATGTGTCCTCTAAAAAGTTATGTGTTAGAAACTGAATCCCCAGTGCAACAGTGTTGGGAAGTGGGACCAAGTTAGAGGTGACTGGGCTATGAGGGCTTGTCCTCATCAATGAATTACTGTCATTATTGCAGGTCTGGGTTGTTATTACAGAAGTGAGATTTTTATTGAAGGAATGGGTTCCTTACAAAAGGATAAGTTCAGTCTAGTCTGCATTCGGTCACCCTCTCTCACTTTCGCACCTTCCTCCATGGCATGATGTGGTAAGAAGGTTCTTAAAAGATGTCAGCACCTTGTTATTGGACTTTCCAGAACTATACGCCAAATAAATTTCTGTTCACTGTAAATTACTTAGTCTCAGGTATATGTTATAGTGGCACAAAATGGACTGACACCCATCCCTCAAGGAATCACTGTGAAGAGAATATAGATCTCTGGTCAGACAAGCAATTAAATACCTACCCATGGAACTAGGGTTGCAGTGAACTCCATCCAAAGCCAATAGATTAAGAGTGAATGACAAGCAGTTTTCTAGAAGAAAAATAGAGAAGAATGTTTAAGGAAAAGGGTGATTAGATGCTGGGAGGAAAAAATTAATATCTACCACACTCATGAGCAAAAGCAAGAACTTATTCAACATCATGAGAAACTATCTATTGTTTCACTGCCTAAATATTAATAGCTTCTTCTTTTCCCAGATCCTATAAGAAACTGTATTATCCATCTTGATTATTCCCTGTGGTGCAACATTTACACAGGGAATCTGCCCAAGGAACAATCAAGAACAAATTCTGAAGTTTGAGGTTATGTTTGTCTTAGAAAGAATCAGACTGGTATATATTGCAATCTATACATGGCAGATTAAGAATAATTAACTGGGTGAAGAAGAAAATGAGAAGAAAGTATGAAACCTTCCTGTTTCTTAAAGGTTTTCAGTGTGAAGCAGAGAAGGGCCCTGGCTTCTGCTGAGGGTAGAAAGTATTTGCCTCTGAAGCTGAGATGATTTTACCAACAGGGAGAAATCCTGATCGTGGGTTGTTTTGTGGGAAAACTCAAGCAGAAAGAGAAACCAAAAGCAGTAAAACTCAAAGAGCAACCAAAGAGCCATTCAAAGCTGGTTATCACTTAAATGGTTGTCTGAGAAGTTGCTTTGCCTCTCTTACCGCAACTAACTAACTCTATATTAAATGAAACAATAACAATATTACAGACACCCATTGAGTGGAACTTTGCAGCCTGGTCACCATGGAGATGTTTCAAGTGCCCATGAGCCTGCATTATTGCAGTCCATTTTCCAGATGACTCTAGATTTTATCCTACTGAGTAAATTGCTTTCTGTCTCTCCTCTCTCTCTCTCTCCCCCTGCCCCTCACCTTTTATTCCTGCCAATATTGAAAAAAAAATGAATAAATCCTTACCCTCTGAGGTTTTAGAATCTATACTAGAGATTAAGCCAATAAGTTTAAAATTCTCAAATAGATGCTTTATAATAGTATAAAGGGAATCAAATGCCAAACCAATATGTAACAAAATATATGTAAGACTGATACGTTCACATAGAAAATTACCAAATATTGAAAAATAATAATAAAACCTAAATAAACTGAAGAATATACCAGTCTCATGGATTACATGACTCAAAATTGTAAATATAGCAATTTCTCCACAAATCGATCTGTAGATCCAATGTGATGTATATGAAAATCTAAATCTCAGAAGCTTTTATCAATACAATTTAATTTGTTTAATTTACATGAAAAACAAAGGGCCAAGAATAGCCATTAAAATGATGAAAAAGAACAAAATTGGAAGATTTTATACTGCAAGATATTGAGACATCATACCAACACATTCTAAGATCACAATCATTAACAGTGTAATACAAGTGCAAGGAGAGAAAAATAGAACACTGAAATAAAATATAGAAATAGATTCCATAGCTACACTAACTCAATTAGGGGCAAAGATGACATCACAGTGCCAGAGGGAAAGAGTGGTATTTTCAATAAATGATGCTGGGTCAATTGGGCATCCATAAGGAAAACATCATGAAGCTTAAATTATAGGTCACATCATCCACAAAAATTAATTGCAGATAGGTTGTAGGCAATGATATGAAAGATGAAATTATACGTATTTCAAAATAAAACAAAGGACAATATCTTCAGAATATTGAGGTAAGAAAATATGTCTTAAACAGGACAAAAACACACTAAACATAAAAAATAGTTAATAAACTAGATGCTATTAAGAAGATTTTCTCATAAAAAGACAGTAAAGAAAAAATTAAGATGTATACTTCTTACAAAAGATGCATATCCAGGCCAGGCGTGATGGCTCACAGCTGTAATCCCAGCACTTTGGGAGGCTGAAGCAGCCAGATTACCTGACATAAAGAGTTCGAGACCAGCCTAACTGACATGGAGAAACCCCGTCTCTACTAAAAATACAAAAAAAAATAGCCAGGCATGGTGGAACATGCCTGTAGTTCCAGCTACTCAGGAGGCTGAGGTAGGAGAATTGCTTGAACCCAGGAGACAGAGGTTGCTGTGAGCCAAGATTATGCCACTGCACACCAGCCTGGGAGACAGAGTAAGACTCAGTCTCAAAAAAAAAAAAAAAAGACTCATATCCAGAATATATAGAGACAGATAGCCCAATAGAAAAATGGGCAAAACAATTGAACAGGCACTTCCCAAAAGATGATATCAAAATGGCCAATGTGTATATGAAGCAATGCTCAACTTTATAAGTCATTAAAAAATGCATATTAAAACCAAAATGAAAAACACAAAAAATGCCAAGTGTTGGTGAGGTTGTTGAGTATTCAGAACTCTCATACATGGATAGTGAAAGGATACATTGATACAACCACCTTGAGAAAACTGACTTTATCTACCAAATCTGAATACATGCATATCCTCTCATGTAGAAATTCCACCCCTAGGTTGATAGCCAACAAAAATGAACATATTCATTCAAAGACATTGACAAGAATAATTATAGGAGCATTATTCATAACTGCCAAAAACTAGAAATGCCCCAGGTATCCATAAATAACAGAATTTATACAAAGGAAAACTATTATGGTGTTAGTTGTTAGGATGGCATTTATGTTTGTGGGGACAGTGATGAATGAGAGGGTGTATAAGGGAAGGTTTTGAAATGCTAGTAAAAAAATAATGTGTTTTTGTTATGAATGCTGTGAGCACATATATTCACTTGGTGAAAATTCACCAGAAAGTCCTTTGTGATCTGTACACTTTTCCACATATATGTTATACTTCATTAAAGAAGTGTTTGATGCTGCAGTTAAAAGAGAGAAGGAACGATGTATTAGTCCAGTGGTCCCCAACCTTTTTGGCACTAGGGACTGTTTTATGGAAGACAATTTTTCCACAAACATGTTCAGGAGGATGGTTTCAGGGTGATTCAAGCTCATTACATTTATTATTAGATTCTCAAAAATAAAGCATGCAACTTAGATCCCTTGAATTCATGGTTCACAAGAGCATTCAGGCTCCTGTGAGAAGGTAATGCCACTGCTGATCTGATGAAGGCAGAGCTCAGATATACTCACTCACCTGCTGCTCACCTCTTGCTGTGTGACCTGGTTCCTAACAGGCCACAGGCCTGTATCCATCCATGCTCTGAGGTGGGGATCCCTGTATTAGTGTATTCTCACACTACTGTAAAGAAATACCTGAGACTGGGTCATTTATACAGAAAAGAAATTTCACTGGATCATGGTTCTGCAGGCTGTACAGGAAGCGTGATGCTGACATCAGCTCAGCTTCTGAGGAGTCCTCAGGAAACTTACACTCATGGTGGAAGGTGAAGGGTGAACAGGCATGTCACATGGCCAGAGCAGGAGCAAGAGAGAGAGGAGGAGCTACACATTTTTAAATGACCAGATCTCATGAGAACTCACCCACTATCATGAGGACAGTATGAATGAGGTTGGTGCTATATCATTCATGAGAAATGTGCCCCCATGATCCAATCATCTCCCACAATGCCCCACCTCCAACACTGAGGATTAAAATTGAACATGAGGTTTGGGTTGGGGACACAGGTCCAAACCATATCAAACAAAAAGAGAGAAGTGTTGGCAAATGGTCAGAAAACAAAAGAACTGAAACAAGTTTAATGTTGGCCACTTGTTTCTGTCAATTGAACATCACTTCATGTGACAAGCTAAACAGGGAGCAGCCCCATCCTGAGGCAATTTCACCATCAGTACCAGGTGTGATGGTGCCCATGGATACAAAATTTCATTATTCTCTCTCAGGGTTTGAGGAAACCCTGAGAGGTTTGAGGAAACACAAGAAAATGTTTTTGTAGTCTGATAAAGATGCCAATTCTACTAACATACTGATTTTGGTTTAGCAGGGCCTATGTACATGCCTGCCCTTGGTGACATCATCCAATGTCCTAGTTTCAAGGGACATCTAAATGCCAATGACTCTAAAATGTATAAACCCAGCTCAGAACTCTCTCCTACACTTCAGACTTATATAGGTTGAACTACCCAAAATCGCCATTTCCATAGGTCAAAAATGAGTGACTTCATATAATTCAACTCGTAAGTTAATTGCCTAATTGATATTTCTAATGAGCATCTCTAATATAACTTATCCAAAATCAAATCTCTTCTATTGTGGTTTCCCATCTCAATATCTGCCAATCCCATCCTTCCTTCACTCTAGATGAAAAACCTTAGAGTAATCATTGACTCCTTTCTCTCTTAGATTATACATCTAATCCATTAACAAATCAACCCTGTATGGCCTACCTGCTAAATATATCCAGAATAAGACAACTTCTCACCAACTTCATATTATTACCTCAGTCTAAGCCACTAGCATTGATTATAAGACTTTTTGCAATAATTCTCTCCATGTGCTTCCTCTTCCAGCCCCAATGTAATTCCTCCCAGTAGCCAGAGAGATTCTTTAAAATGCTAAGTCAGACTGTGTCTCTCTTCTGCTTAAAATTTTCCACTGGTTGCCCATCTCACAAAGAGTAAAAGCCAGATTCCTACAATTGCCTACAAAGGCCTATGCCATTTGTCATATGCAATAAATATTTGGTAAATTACAACAAAGACCCAGGCTCTCCAGCTCCCTACCCCACCATCCTTCAGGTAAGACCCTTGTCCTCAGAGTCCAAGATGGCTACTCAAACCCAGACATTACACCCACATTCTAAGCAGCAGTATTGAACAAGCAGGAAGAAGGAATGCCCTCTTTTTCTAAGGAGATTCCCAAAAGTTCCACACATTTCTATTTACATCCATACTTAAGCTAGGGTTTCTCAATGTTAACATTATGGACGTAATAATTCTATGCTGTGGTGAGCTGGCTTTTGAACCATAGGATGCTTAGCAGAATCCCTGCTAGCATTGCACCCAACACCAGTAGAACAAAACACCCCACCACTAGTTGTGACACTTTAAACTGTGTACAGACATTGCCAGATGTGCCCAGGGGTAAGAGAGGGATATCTGCTAGTTGGGAACCATTAACTTA